TTGAACTCATGAAAGAACCCACTTTGGATAAATAAGTTATAGTGGACAATCTATTGCTCTATCTCCCTTCCTGCTTGTTCTAACTAATCTGAATTCAGAACAAGAATTTTGTCTTTGTGACCACAAGGTATCTTTCTAGCTTCACATTCAGTCTTTCCAACCATCCAACCAATTACCAAGTTACAGTGAAATACATGATCTTGCCTAAATATGGGCCATTGATTATCTATCATTAAATTATCATCAACTGCACCCTTTTACATAGATCTCAGAGGAGATATCTAGACAACTACACCCTAACTTCCTTCCCATTATGGTTCTGGGTTAGTCTACCAATGAGAGGCACTCATGTAAGATTGGAAAGGAAAGCAGTATTATCCTCAAGCACAACGGCTAACAGGTACATAGGCTGAGCTTCAGGCTCCTGTGAAATTGCTGAGACTCACTGTGGCTTCCAAATGAGCTCCTGTGAACCAAATAGCTCCCTGCACCTGTTTCTATGACCTCTATTCCTCTCACCCTTCCAAAGGTTGTGAAAACCTATAACTTCTTGTATTTAAACCCATCCTACTTGGAATTACTAGAGGGTTTCTCTTATTTTCACTGAAAACTGACTTATACATCTCCTTGGGAAATAAAATGAGATTACATTTTAAGTTTAATTTTAGTGTTTCTTCTTTCTGTTGAAAAAAAATTAAATCACTTGCAATTATTTCATATTAAGAAATAATAAAATATTAAAAAAGAAAATTCACTCTAAAATGTCATAATATTGATGTGGTGTTCCAAATGATCTTAAGTACATGCAAATTAGTGATATCTGTGTATCTCCACTGTACTATTCACTGATACTCAAAATTAGGCACTTTTTTTGAGTTGTGTCATAAGGTCTGAGATCTGATCACATATGACACAATATCTGAAAAATGATATTTAGGCCCATATAATAAAACAGGTAGACTCCATTTTTTAGTACATTGTGGCTCTAGAAATTGCATCAAAATGTACAAAACATTTTGTTTTCTATAAACAAATGATATACTTGCAAGATAAATTCCAAGCCTATAACAATTAAGTAAATTCTAGCTCTGGATAATAATATAATGATAGAGGTGTAAACACCATGAACCTCAACCATAAAATAATAAATATCTGTATGAGAGGCTCCTAGAGAAAGAGAAAATATATCCATTATACCAAAGGGCTGTGGAAAAAGCATATACCATATGAAGACTACAATTCAGTTTTATTATGATATTGATATTTATATAAAAATATAACATATGCTTATTTTAATTAATTTTAAATATTAAATGCAAACTTGTGTGTCTTATTTAGCTTGAATAGAACTTGAAATAAATGGCTTAAGAGCTTATTTGAATGGCTTAGATTTCTCTTAAAAAATCTGATGGTTTGAGTCCAAATGTATATCTTATTTTACTCTATATTCATACAAAAGGATACTAGAGATCTGAGAACTTGTCCCAAAGTCTCAATTATTCTTTATAAAGCACTTATTGTGACATCAAACAGTTTGAAAACCTCATTTTAAGAATTTAGTTTTAATTAAAGGTATAAGTTCTTATATATCATCTCATTGTTCATTATATACCACCTCCCCCCGCAACACACACAAACACCCTTACAGCCATGTAAATTAGGCACCATCACAGATTGAAATAATTAAATGTTCTGAATGTAGTTATGGCTCTAGTTATCTCTACAATGATCAGAATCATATTTAAAGAGCAAATATACTTTACTATAATCCACTGATTACAAAACACCTACGACACCATGGAATTTGCAGACCACCTTCATTACTTTGATTCTATCATGGTTAAAGGACCACCATTAATGAATATCTTTTCTAGACATTCCAAAGTCACCTAATAAATGTAAACAATCAACAATGGAAAATGTCAAGACTGGCACTATTTCACAGCCCCGTAGACAAAATGCACCTAGGGTCAGAAAGTAAAGGTAGAAACCCATGGCTAGTAAGTGAAGGTTGGAATCTTGTGTCTTAGACAAGGGATGGTCTCAAGAATAACAATAATCTCCTACGTGATGAGTACCACTATGGACTACAGTTTCTATATTCTGTTTAATCTACTTGTTCATTGTCTTTAATTTTACCATGAGAAATACACATGACTTTATCTGGGTGCTCACTTTTCATAAAATAAAGGGTTTAATTTCTGTTTTTTTATTTATTTACAGAATGTATTGCATTCATGTTGATAAACAGAAAAGCTACAAAGCTGAACACACTGCACATTTAGAAATGTCCTTCTTTTAGCTAAGAGGATACATTTCATATTAACATGGACCATTAAAACTCAGGTTTTTATACAGTAAATGACAGATGAACAACAAATGTTAATTTCACAAATCCTAAGGGTTTGTTATATCTGAAAATATTGCTTTATCCTCAGAACGTCTGTCTTCATCATCCTGTCCACCTCTGAGTGCTTCTTGTTCTGGTCATAGATGTAGTTGTAGATGCTCTTGAAAGCCACCCAGGACATATGCTCAATTTATCTCTGTGTTCCATTCTAAACCTTTTTTTTTTTCTTTTTTCAATCTACTTTACATGATCTGGGCTGATTTCTGACTTGAATCAATAGTTCCCAATGCTGGTATTATGTCATATTTATTTATTTATTCAATTTTTATCTGTCAAGATTTTGTTGGGTTTCATTCAGTGTGCACACAGTTCTGTGCCTTACTGCCCCCTCTTCCCATCAGTGTGTCCCGGCCACAGCTCAGGGAAACCTGACTCCTGTAAGAGCTCTCAGGACCTTCTAAACTGCCTCTTCCATCTTTGTCCAATCCTTACAAACCCTTTATATTCTTCATAGATCCAGAACTTTTTGAGTTCAAAAAGAAAACAGGGGTGCCTGGGTAGCTCAGTCGGTTAAGTGGTTGCCTTTGGCTCAGGTCATGATCCCAGGGTTCTGGGATCGAGCCCTGCATTGGGCTCCCTGCTCAGCGGGAAGCCTGCTTCTCCCTCTCCCTCTGCCCCTACTGTGTGCTCGCACGCTCTCTTTCTGTCTGACAAATAAAATAAAATATTAAAAAACAAAAAAAGAAACATTGGTTGCTTTTATTTATTTATTTATTTTTAAGATTTTATTTATTTGACAGAGAAAGACACAGCGAGAGAGGGAACACAAGCAAGGGGAGTGGGAGAGGGAGAAGCAGGCTTCCCACTGAGCTGGGAGCCAGATGCGAGGCTCGATCCCAGGACCCTGGGATCATGACCTGAGCCTAAGGCTGTTCCTTAACAACTGAGCCACCCAGGCACCCCAACATTGGTTGTTTTTAAACAAGTACTATGTGTCAGGCACTGAGGATCCAGCAGTGAAACGGCCCCAGCTATTAAGAAATTTACAATATAATGGAAGAGATAGAGCAAGTTAACAGGAAAAAACACTTTTCCTTGATACATTTAGAGATATGTGTTACTTCAAATTGTTACTGGACAACTAGGAGGGCCAGCTACTGCAGTCTTGGGGTATATGGAATGCTTCTAATCACTATAGCACATATCAAAGATGAAATATTACCACTAACATGCAGATAAAATTGGACTAAAATGTTGCTTATGGATTCTACCTGTGTCTGAAAATCCATAAAATAAGTTTATGAAAAAATAATTTGCTATATAGATAAATGGATTAATGTTTAAATTAACAGGGCCCACCTTCTGCAGCCCAGTGCCGAGGACTTTCTCTTACCAGTATAATATAACACATAAGCTCACTGAAAATAAAATAAAGGTCCCTAGACTCAGTGGGGTCCCAGAGTCCTAGGTCACCCCAACCATTCTAAGATGGAATAACCTTATCCTTCAAGAATAACCTTCAAGAAACAATGCTTCACATCTTTGAGATTCATGTTCAGACTCAGATTGGACAACTGATTGGACAAACAGGTGTTCTGGTCACAAGGAACGGTGCTGATGAGTAGCACACTGATGCAAACCACGGCTGCAGCCAGCCCCTAAGGGTGGCACACACATCAAGCCAGTAATCTCGCATTTCTATACAAGATAATATTTTTACGTTCACACGCAACAGTAATATGTTAAGGAGGTTACTGTTCACAAAGTGCTTCTGCCATATAATCTCATTTGATCCTCATAACATTCCTGAAAGTCCAGAGGACAGCACTTATTCTGAATGGTCAAATAAATTGCCCAGGTCAGACAACTTGAAAGGTAGAACTTCCTGTCTTCAGACCCTGGGTTCTTCTCACACCCCTACAGTGCTTTCTGCCTCAAGACCTCTGATGGTAAGAAGGGAAGAATACGCTTCACAGTGACATTAAAGTCAAAGAAGGAGCCAGCACAGCACCATGCCTTGAAAGAGATCAGACTTCCATTTCTGAATAAAACCATCTAAATGCCATTTCTAATACAAGCCAAATCTCTCATTGACTCATTCCTAAATTTTAGAAAAAATTAAATAAACCACGAGCTAGAACAACTGGCAAAATAAGCAAAAGTGCAGAGGAGTGTGGAAATTTCATTTTTAACAATAGCTTTTCAAAAAAGGAAAGCCAGACAAACCAGTAATCCCTAAGAGGCTTGTTTGGACTCCATTTCAAAAACAAAAAAAATTATAAGAAAAGTATTTGTTGGTCTGTTACAAATTACCTATATCCACAGAGATGAAGAGAGCACCCAAACACAACTATTCAGAAAGGCACTGAGCAGGAACTCAAAAACTCACTGAGCAGAGAGCTCCATCACTGGGACCCTGTGTATTGAAGATATTGGTATTTGGTAGAAAGGAAATGGATTTTACCCAAGTGCTCCTTCCCTGAATTCAACTCTTATAAGGAAACTCTCCATATATATATAATAACTCCCCATTATTATTCTGGTATTGTGCTATATATTCACAAAGTCATTGGACAGATTTTTTTTTTTTTTAATCTAGTTATTCCAGTCTCTACAACAAGGACATGTTACTTAGGGGAAAAAAACAAACCTGTTCTCTGAGAGCTTTGATGGTTTTTTGAATTTCCACTGCAAAATTGCTGAAATCTTGGGCAAACTTTGCTTTTGCCAGAAGTGTCACGTTTCTACCATCTTCATCAATGTACAAGTGACCTTGTTGCCTGTTTATACAAGAAGCAAATAAAATGCTGAAAAATAGAAGTTGCATGATAAAAAAAAATCAACAAATATTCCTCAGGCATTGGAATGTACAGGGCATTGTGACTGCTATGCTGTGTGGACATAAAAAGATGTGACTGGAATTAGAAATTAAAATTAAATGACATATAAGAAGATAATCCAGAGTGTCATATCTGTTCCACATAGTTTATTCAAAATGATAAGGAAGTATTTCTTAGGAAATAAAGGGAATGCCACATAGTATTACATATCTATTTGACATATTATTTAGATCTCAAATTATGTCTTTTAGTAAGTTGTTCATTCCACTTCACAGTGAAAGAGCAGTGACAAATTAAATATTATATACTATATAGTACGCAGGTGGGAAATTTCCTTGTTCTATTATAAATTCATGGCAAGAACTAAATTAAGATGAGAATACTAGTCTAACAAAAATCTAATCTTAAACCAGATGCAAAATAGCTCAGTATTGTTGATAATAAAAGGAAATAAAAAGTCTTGGGCTGAATTTAAAATATGATTCCTAGAGCTTAACTGAAGTTTTCAAAACACAGAGGTAAATAATAAGTTTGGAAAATTGAAATGAAAGTTCCATCCACCTATGATTACAATATATTGTCAAAAATATTTTTATATATTGGGTGCCTGTGTGGCTCGGATGGTTGAGCATCTGCCTTCGGCTCAGGTCATGATCCCAGGGTCCTGGGATCGAGTCCCGCATCGGGCTCCCTGCTCCTTGGGAGCCTGCTTCTCCCTCTGCTTCTCTCTCTCTCTCTCTCTCTCTCTCTCTCTCTGTCTCTCATGAATAAATGAATAAAATCTTAAAAAAAATATTTTTATATAGATTTGATTTAGTTGACGTGCTATTAATGTCTCAAGTTTTCTTTTTTTCCCCAAATTTTGTTAAAAGTTCTTCTTTGTGAAAAAGCCATTGTAACTTTCAAAATTGTTCTGCTTTGTTCTGCTTGATATATGTCTTCTATTGTTCAGTAAGAAAATAGCTTGCCAGATACAGTACATCCCATGAGCTTGTAAAACAATTCCTAAACCAAGGACATGTCACAGAGCTTACATCAGAGAGGTAATTTAGGAAAAGATAGCATTGAAAAAGAACAGGAGTTACCAATGCCAGTTACTCAGTCACTAGATCAACTCTATGTCCCGTAAGACACTATGGATTAGAGGCACCATGAATCACTAGTGGCCTCACACCAGCTTTTACTATGGTGCCGTGTTCAAATTGATTCAAGTGTACCAATGTTGACATGGATGATATTAGTAACAATGGATAATTTTAATTAAGATTATTTGACACTTTTGTTTTCATGATGCTCTCTCCTGTAGATCATCAGTGTTGAATAAAAGGGGATTTAGCCACAAGGAAGTCTGGATGATTGTATAAAGGTACAACCAAGATTTAAAGTACTGAATGTAGGAACACAGGGAGTAGTTGATATTGGTAAAACCAGATTATACAATCCGGTGGTGTTCACAATGGAATAAGTATGTGTTGGGTGTGGGTTATGTAATAAGCATTACGCTAAGATACATGTGAGGGTGCTTTCCAGTAAGTAGGCTGCTAACACTCTCTCAGAAAAGGCTGACTGATGAACAAGCAGGAAATACAATATTTGTATGAGGAAGACAAATAAGAAGGTAATGACTTCTGCCTGGGGTGGGGGTGGGAGGTGGCATGAATCAGGGAAGCTAAATAAAGCGACCATAATTCTTCATCCATTTCAGGGACCATGCAGCTCTGAGTGTTCTGACCTAGAGGCCACATCGTTTCACTCAATGCACCCAGCAGTGCCAAGAGACACTTGAAGCAGCCCTGTCTTTCAGATGAGAATACTGTAATAGAAAGTTAATATGTCCATATGATACAGCTATTAAATTGCACAGTTGGATGCAAATCAGGATTTTTAAAAACAAAATTTAAAAATCCTTTTTTAACCACTACACAGACATTTTAGGCCTGATCAGATTTATGTTTTAGACAGTGTGGAAAGAGAGAAGAGAGACAAGGACACCAGCTAGGGAGATTATTGGGGGGTTGTGGGGAAGGTGGGGGGAAGATGAAAGGAAAAGATGGATAGTACGGATGTTGCTATATATTATTAAAAACATGAAACTCAGCATAGAGCTTGTAAGAAAAAAATAGTATTTATCAAGTTAAACTGATGTTAATTCATGAACAATGTATTAAAAAATGGCTCAATTTGTGACTGAGAGAGAGTAAATGCAAGAAAGATGAATGTGGGGGCGCCTGGGTGGCTCAATCAGTTAAGTGGCTGCCTTCAGCTCAGGTCATGATCCCAGGGTCCTGGGATCGAGCCCCACATCGGGCTCCCCGATCAGCGGAGAGCCTGCTTCTCCCTCTCCCTCTGCCTGCCTGCCTACTTGTGATCTCTATCTCTCTGTCAAATAAACAAATAAAAAAATCTTAAAAAAAAAGAAAGGTGAATGTGCAGAGAAAAGTGAGAGTGAAATCATAGTCTGAGTGATCTGTGCACACTGAGTGATGGAATTTGGCCCTCTTTGGTCTAAACAAGTCTTCAGCACAACAGAACAATCTACAAAGGATTACTGAAGTGTGTATAGTTAGAAGACAAAACAAAGCTGGTATTATCTTTTTATCATCACATCAACAATAAACAGAACTCCCAATTGCAAGGCTCATGTTTGAGTCAAATTTGATAAGATTGGCAGGAGACTAAAATTGAAATTAACCAATCTATAGCTGAGTGACTAAGGCTACAGGTAAGGAGAACGTCCATGAGGTCACCATAATCTTTTTTTTTTAAAGATTTATTTATTTATTTTGAGAGAGTGAGAATGAGAGAGAGAGAGTACATGAGAGCGGGGAGGGTTAGAGGGAGAAGCAGGCCCCCCGCCGAGCAGGGAGCCCGATGTGGGACTCAATCCTGGGACTCCAGGATCATGACCTGAGTGGAAGCAGTTGCTTACCCAACTGAGCCACCCAGGCGCCCCGAGGTCACCATAATCTTAAAGAGTTCAGATAATTTATACGTTAATTATTACCTCAAAACAAGTGAAATGAATGTTTCTGGAAGAACCGGGATGTGGCTGTAGGACAGGGCAGAAGGCAGGTAGTGGGTGTTTTGTCCATGCCACATACTTGTGGATGTGACTGGAGAGCCAGATCTCCTTTAACATCTTATAAGAAAAAGAAAAATTGCCTACAAATGTGTTGCCCAACATCTACTTCCAATTTTTCTCTGGTGAAACATTTCATGTAGTAGAGTGGATTACAAACCAAATGAAATGCTAAATTAAATAAGGGCCATGTGACTGCTTTCTGCCACTTGAATTATTTAAAAATGGTTCTGACTGGGGTTATTGCTCCTGGTCAACAGTCTACCTTGCAGGAAGGAGCTCCAGGAACACATGGAACAGGTTTAGTTTTCTTAGCCTAGAATCTAAGGCCTTTCTCTCTCTGCCTCAATCTCTTTTTATAGAACATTCTTCCAGAATGCTCTTCATCCCTACGTATTGAACACACCAGGTCATTTAGTAACACGCCAAGACTTACCACTCTGCAAACACACCTAAATTTCTTTGTCCCCATGACTTTGCTCGCTGTTCTTTCAGACTGGGAAGCCCTAAACCTTCATCAAAACCTTAGTCTCTTTCTCAAGAGCTCACCTCTGCATAGGCTAAAAGTCCAGAATTATCCACACCTTGTTCTGAACTATACAGCATCCTAATTGGATTTCATTTCAGTATTATATGAGAACTTCTGTTCAAAGAGTTAATATTTGCATAGCATTTAAAAGAATGTTTGGCATATAGTGAGCACTAACTATAACAGCATTTGCTGTCCTCTCTTTTGTTAAATGCCTATACTGTTGCATCTCACATCACTATTAAGCGCTTTACATATATATGTATTCTCAACATAATAATCCCATAAAGTAGGTATTATTATGCCCATTTTACAGCTGAGGAAACTGAGACTCTGAAATTTTACATAACTTGTGGTTATGAAGTAATGGAAACAAGGTGTGCACCTGTGCCAGAATCTGAAACCTTCACCCATCTCCCTTATCAGATTACCCACCTTCTCTCCTGGACTATAAATCTTACGAGACAGAGACTATGTCTTGTTCATTTCTACATATGTCACAAATTCCCACTTGTGACTGATAGCAGGAACTCCAAAAATGTATTTTGAATTTGACTGAATTATAATACCTAGGAGGCTGCTATGAAAGACAAAGTTACTAGTGTGTGATAACAAAATGTCTTCAATAGTGTCTCCTACCGGACTGTCAATTATAATGTTTGTATGTTTGTTTTTGTAATTTAATTATACAAGCATCTACTGAATATTTACTCAGTGAAAAGGAGCTACTGTATACACCCATGCTCACGACATTGTTTCTGTTTCCAGAAGCTTCTAAGACAAGTGTGAGGAGAAACTTTGTAAAAAAGTTAACTATATATGAAACTTGTATATAAGTGTCACAGGAGAAGTCCTAACAGATTTCAAAGGAGTTAAGATTGACATTTCTCAGTTTTCTGAGGGATCAAAAATATCCCATCTTGGTCACAAATTAAACCTTCTTTGCAATACACAATACATGGATTAAAATCAACTTACCTTGATAATATTATTACTTTTCTTACAAACAATATGCTGAGTTTCCTATTTTTGAAAAGAATTTTAAAAACAGCAATATCCATAATGTGATTTAAGGAATCATAAATAACATTTATGATGTGCAATTTTCTGTACTTTATTGAGAAATATTTATTGCTAAACATGCCCTGGATATGATGTCCCAGAGTGAAAAGGAACCCATATATATTACAAAATTTATTTATTTGTTCATCGTTGTATAATTTATCCTATATGTAAATGAGTCAACCATTGTTTCTAAAGAACCCCTCAAATTGTATATTTGAAATAAATCTATGGTAAATAGCCCAAAGAAATTAGATATTTCTGTACATACCTACTGATTAGATCACTTAAGTCCTTATCTTTCTCATCAGGATAGCTGTATTGAACAGAGCGTTTCTTTTGAGATTCTTGTGTGAATGCTCTTAACTGTCCTCTACTCCTACAGTCTGTGGGGAAAAAGTATCCACATGAGCATTGTGTGAGATTGGCATCATCTTCCTGTCTAGAGTATCTCTTTAATTGAGGAGGGAGATGGATAGCTCTTCAGTCAGTTCAGTTATAGTTTTCTGGTTTTGCAATGGCTGCATCTCTGTTTTTACCAAAGCAGATGAAATACCAAGGCAGTTTGCAAAATCTGTAGAGTCTCTCTCCATAGGGAGAGGAAGGTGAATCTGAGCAAGGGCATTGATCATGGGGTACGTTTTTTTCACTTAGAGGACTTGAAAATGGGGAAAGGAACAAAAACGTGGTAGACAGAATGCTTGAAATTCTGAGCTCCTCAAATTACTTAATCAACACCTGCTACCAACTCAAGGCTAGTTTTTGTTATTAATGACCTCTATTGCACAACAATGTGCATATAGTTAACACTACTGTACTGTACACTTAAAATGGCTAGCATAGTAAATTTTTTGTTATGTGTTTTTCACCACAATAAAAACACATGAGAATGTTATGAAAATTTTTATATAAATATAAAAGAACAACAACAAATGCTCTTTAAATTTCATCTGAAAACAGTTAGATTGGAAACTAGGTATATTGAGAAGAGGAAAAACAATGATGTAGGAACCTACCTTTCCAAATAGTAAAGCTACTATATATAAAGCTCAAAAAAAAAAGGAATTTTTAATACTGGAATAAAAAATATATTGAAATGGAACATGATAACCATCCCAGAGCATTTCACTATGCACTTGAATCTAAAAGGTTACACCGGACAGCATAAATTGGAGGGGAACAAGGAATTACCCTACAGCTTTTTGTGTTAGGCAATGAACAAGTTATTTCTTAGGGAAGGGAGTTATTTCTTTGGGAAGGGAGAGATGTAAAGACAACTTACATCTTCACCTTAGCATATATAAATTAAAATAAGAGGAATATGCCCCATGATAAATTGTTAAGCAAAGCTGAAGATAAAATTTAAGTTGATTTTTTAAATAACAAATAAATGGCAAGTGCTATAAAATTAGACACAAAAGAAAAGCAAAACTGTATTATACAATATGAGCTTACTAATATTAAAACATATAAAAAATAAACTGAAATGACAACATGTCAAAATGGTGACAGCGATGTGTCTAGAACATTGTTATGGTTATTATTTCTTTTTTCTTATTCTATATCTATCCTTTGTTTTGTCCCAGTTTTCAATAAGAAACAGTCATAATTTAAACAATTTAAAAATAGTAAATGCAAGTAAGCAGAGAGAAATGGATTATTCCAAGTCTGACAGTGGGCTGAGCTCTAGGACAAGTGTGAGACTTTGGACAATCGAGGAGGAACATGGAAGTACAGAATTCTTCCCAAGGACAGAGAAGTACTCAAGAAGGGAGGTAGAACTGTGGCAATAACAAACTACCTCAATGGGCAAGCTTTGCCAGTGAACTGGTGGGAAATGCATGCTGTTGAAAATGTTGCGTGTGTTACTTTTGAAACTATAGTATCAAGATATTATAGATAAAGCTATGCAGTATACTTACAGATCTATATGTGTCTACTTTTACAGCATTACTTCAACCTAGCACCTTATCAATAACCAATAATCCATAAATATTTGCAGATCTGGGTGAGAAAAAAAGAAATAGAAAGAAAACAAAAAAACACAACTAAAATATATGGGTTTCATTCATGTAGTAAAACTTAGTTTTTCTGTTTCTGAAAAGTATATAATTTTTGTCAATAAATATTTATGTGGAACTTACTAAACTATTAGTACTGTAGGGAAAATAAAAATGAATAAGCTATGGTTCTTGGTTTTGAAGAGTTTGCAAGTGGGAAACACAGCATTTCCAATTAAGCCTATATATCTCCCCTTTTAATCCTCATATAAAAAGGAAAAGTATAGAGGAAGGAGAAGCAAGATGGCGGAGGAGTAGGAGACCTAAATTTCGTCTGGTCCCAGGAATTCAGCTAGATAGGGATCAAACCATTCTGAATACCTACGAACTCAACAGGAAATCAAAGAAAAGAATAGCAGCAACTCTCTGAACAGAAAAGCGACCACTTACTGGAAGGTAGGACATGCGGAGAAGTGAATGCGAGGTGATATTCGGGAAGATAGATGGTGGGGAGGGGGCCTCCATCAGCTGCTACTGGGAAGTGATAGAGCAGCAGAGCACAGAATCGGAACTTTTAGAAGTCAGCTCTGCTGAGGAACAGCGCTCCAGTGGCTAAGTAGGGGGTCAAACCCTCGTGGGAGAGTGTGGTCTCAGGACCCTCGGGGTCACAGAAAGACCAGGGGTGCCTGACTGTAGCAGAGCTCCCAGGTATTGGAACGGGGAAGCTGGGTGCAGAGACGGAGCTGAGGAGCAGGCTCTCAGCTCAGGGTTGCCATAAACCGTGATCCGCAGCATAGTCAGACCACTGCTCCTCCAGCAGGGACCGAACAAGCGGCAGATCCAGGGAGACTCCCCTTCCTCCCCTGGAAGGAACGGCATGGGAGCACACCACAGGGATGTGCTGAGTTTGGAGACTCCACATGGGGTTGTGTGCCAGAGGTAGAAATGCTTGATCACAGGCCAGGTGAGCATGGAGTGCAGCCGGAGACCGGAGAGATGCAAGTGATTGAATGCTTTTCTCTGGGGGCTCACTGAGGAGTGGGGCCCCAGGTTCTCAGCTCCTCCGGGGTAG